CCAGACGTGAATGTGGGCGACAGCTTCTGACGCATTTCCCTCCAACGTTTGCCATCCAAATTGAATAGATGTCCAGTGAGGGGATCGTTGTGCTCATTGTGGAACTGTCCACGATCGGCAAAGTTCGCGAAATCCTTAATGAGAATATTCTTTGCCAGTTTGGTGTCCATAATGAAGGCGCATTGCTTCTGAATAAAGGTGAAGCCCACAAAGGGATGTCCACTCTTTCGGAACTTGTTGTAGTATCCTATCATGATCTCGCTAAGCGTGTGAGTTTTTCGGAATCCGACAGCATTTCCATAGATCGGATGTGGCGGATCTTGAGGAATTCCGCGGCGTTTCCAATAGGTCATTTGTTGGTGTACCAGGTATACCAGCAAAGCTGATATAGCGCTCAGCAAGTATATTAAGAAGAACATTTCGTGACCCGCTCTCAACGACTTCCACTCAAGCACTGTCCGAATGCAAAGCAATCTGCTGGTATTATATTCGCTCTCTCGCTCACTCTCCCTCTCGTTCTTGTTTCTTACAAACAGCTTATATGATAATTTGTTGTTTTCATATCTGTATTTATATGTAGTCCAAGAAATCGTTCTCAAAGAGTCGTATAAATGGCTAGACTCTCAGTTAATGTGTTATTTGTTGAAAAGATGAACAGAATTTGAGCTATAAGAGTTGAGTTCTCAAACGAAATCAAGAGTGGAAAGTAGTCGGAATAAAACAAGTATTCACAGCTAATGCATTGATGCATATTTGATTCATTTCAAATACAACCCAAAAAGGTCACCGGGCTCATTTTGACTCTAAGCACTCCCAAAGGGTAATAATTGGGGAAATTTCTTCCCAGATGTAAATAACGTTTTCTGGTTTAATTATCACATATATTACAAAAATAAATCTTAAAAGATATGCAAATTTAAAGTTTATACAACTAGCCAGATCTGTTTGATTGGCACGGCAAAGCAATGAAATTCTTTGGCAAATCCAATGTAAGCAACTCTGGACGTCTTTAAAAGAATTTACATTCAATTCTAAACACGTTCGACGCGCAAGTAAATGCCTCCAATAGTGCCTATTATAAGCGATTTAGGATCATATATAAGGGGTATATCAGTCTTATCGCAAACTGTGAACTTGAAGTTCCTTAGCAGTTGGGCCAGACCAATTCGTGTTTGCATTTGGCCGAAGCGCATTCCCACACAATTTCTGGGCCCATCCCCAAAGGGCAGCCACTCGACAGAATCACGAGCTGCCACCTGTTCGGGTGAGAATCGTTCTGGATCGAACTTCTCTGGTTCGGGATAAAGGTCTTCATCCCGATGATAGGCAGCGGCAGGAAGAATGATCTGTGTTCCCTTCTCTATGACATATTTGGGATGACCAGGTACCACATAATCATTAAGTGCTTTCCTCTCCAGGAAAGGCACCAGAGTGTACAGTCGGAGGGTTTCTGGTAACGATATCATGACTTAGTTGAGCTCCCTTTAAAGCCGAATAGAGCGGTCTTACCAGAAATAACCTGATCCAAGTATCGCATGGCCTTAACGCATTCATAGGTCAGTTTTCCATCGTGTTGCTGCAGTACTTCTTGAATATCTTCCCTTAGTCTGTCCTGAATGTCTGTGTGTTGGGCCAGTTCATAGAGAGCGTAGGTCATGGTTGATGANACGTCGGTGGTGAAGCGTGCCATCAGATCCTTGATTTCAATAATGGCTCCTCCAGTCTTAGCTGGGACATTCTCCATCATTACCTCTACGAATTCTTCGGACACTTTGATGACTGTGGGGAACATGAACTTCATCTTGCCAGACGTGAATGTGGGCGACAGCTTCTGACGCATTTCCCTCCAACGTTTGCCATCCAAATTGAATAGATGTCCAGTGAGGGGATCGTTGTGCTCGTTGTGGAACTGTCCACGATCGGCAAAGTTCGCGAAATCCTTAATGAGAATATTCTTTGCCAGTTTGGTGTCCATAATGAAGGCGCTTTGTTTTTGGATGAAGGCGAAGCCCACAAAGGGATGTCCACTCTTTCGGAATTTGTTGTAGTATTCAATCACCAGATCGTTGAGCACGCGTGTCTTTCTGAACCCGACGACATTGCCATAGATGAGATGTGGCGGCTCCTGAGGTATTCCCCGGCTCTTCCAGTAGTTCATGTTGCGGTGCAGCAAGTACACCAGCAAAGCTGATATGGCGCTCAGCAAGTATATGATAAACAACATTTTGTGTTCAGTTCTCTCTGACTCGGTGGCAAAAACTGATCGCTGCTGGGAGGGCCGCAGCGTATTTTATGCCGATTGTTTGTAACTCAGCATGAGTTGCTATATTTCGTTTGTTTTGATCGGCCTGAAACTGCTAGTCATACTGATGCCGCAGTTGAGTCAAGTGTGTGTTCAGCGATAGCTGTTATTATCAGGCGAACTGGCCACTAACCTGTAATGTTTAACAAATACTAGTTAGAGGAACCCAGCAGGTTGTCCCCGGTAGGCAGCGGCCTACATAACAGCAGCATCGCATTAGCATGCGAGAGTGATAAGGGGAGAATACGAATTACCGACTTAACTGATATTTAAAGTATATCCAGGTCTTCGAAGCGAATCTTTTCAGTATTTTTATCTTGTTCATACGCACATTAAAAATAAATACCCCATCCCATCCTATTGGACTTAAAATTTCAGCTTTTTTCAAGCCAAATAGTTTGTAATGCTTTTCTTCTATCCAGAGTGAATTTACTATATATATCTAAAATTATTAAAATGTGATCTATGTTTTTTTTTTAATGCAAGTATGTATGATTATTATTTTAAGTTTATTCTGTAATTTTTTTAAAATTTGTTTTCATATAATATATATAAAATTATGAGGCAAAGGCTTGCTCGCCTTCTCTCGCTGTCTGTCTTGGCTGGCTAATCAGCGTCTTGTGATTTGTAATAACTGTAATAGCATTTGTAAACTTATTCCATTCATAATGTAGGAGCACTCTAATGGAATGAATCTAGGGATAACTGTTATTATTTGATGTCACCTAAGTGATTATAAATTCTCTTTTCACAGCTCGCTTTAACAGTGTGAAGTGCTTACTCAACTTTGCTTTCAAAGCAAACGCAATTATTGGCACTGTGCGTTGCTTAAAGCTGCTCTCTCTGCAGCTCTCACTCTCTCTCTCGCTCTCTTTCTGTGTATGTGAGTGTCCTTTTGCTGTCCATTATGGTTTCGTCCTTGTGGACTGCGGCTGACAGCAACAGGCGGACTTAAGCGCTGCAATCGCGCTACCAGCAAATATTTTCCAGTTGACGTTTATTTAATTATGGGCATTGAGTGCAAGTGTAAGTGTGTGTGTGTGTGTGATATTAAAAATGACATTTAAGAGATGTGTGTGTGTGTGCCTTATATATTTAACACCTGTCCATTAAAATGAATTTCCCTTTGTTGTTCTTTCAACATTCTTTAAAGCTGACCTTGAGCTGCTCCCAGCGAATCATGTGAATTTTATGGCTATATGGCCAAACAAAGGGAATATATGATAATAAAAAGTCAGTCAAGTACGAGATGAAGAGCGGGCGCACTTCTTCTTCTTCGCCTTGCTCTTAAGCATAATGAATGCATGAGCTGAAACAAAAAGTGGAATGCATTATTTCAACACAGTCAGGTGCTGTGGTGCCCACAAAAAAGCGTAGATTGGGAAGGGGAAGGGGGAGGGGGAGGGGGAGACTGCACTTATGCGCTAAATAAAAATGCAAATCTAAATGTAACATAAGAGCGCGCACTATATGCGGGCTCAAATCTGCAGAAGCAGCACAAAAGAAAACCTCGTCAACTGTGTGTGAAGGGCGTGTGCTGGGAGTGCTCGACTAGCGTTTACCCTGTAGCAATATTTAAGTAGACTTATCGATTAGATTTGAGCCTAATTTATATAATTTTAGGATATCTTTGCCCATGCTATATCCTAATGACAACTTAAAATATGAGGCAAATCCTAATCAAGCTGATTTTCTTGATTGCTAATAATAATTTAATATTTAACAATATTCAAGCTATTATTTGCTTAGCTCTTAAGCAAATGTATTTACATTTTACAACAATATTTACAAAGAAAATCGATATATACCAAAGTTCCTGTTTTTATTTAAAATTTTTATTCATTAAAAAATCAGAATATAAGATTAGCCTTCATATATTATAGAAGGCTAACTATATATTGTTGGGAGTATAAATACATATAAATATATATACTTTTCCTCTAGACTCTTCACTCTCAATGCTTCAATCTTTCATTGGAGCTACTTTTGAGTGTGGGGCTATACTCGCTAGTTTCTTTAAGTACAGGGTAAACATTCAGCATCTGCTTCAAATGTATCCGCATTTACATTGGGGCATCTTTATCTACAAATGCAACTGCAACTGCTGCTGCTACTGCTACTGCTACTGTTTCTCCTGCTGCTGCTCCTCCTCCTGCTGCTGCTGCCGCTGTCAGTCAGCTGTGCAGCTGATTTGTTGCTACCTTCTTGTGTTGTTGTTGACTGGGTTGCTGTCAAGGTGACAGCAAGCAGACAAACAATTGCTCCCAACTATTCTTTCAGCCCGAGTCAGCACGGCCACACCCCCTTAATGCTAAAAAAATACACACACAAAAATAAAAAAAAAAAAAAATGAGAAAAGAAAAACACGTTTGAGCTGAGCGGCATTGCTAATTACGCCAGCGCAGGCTCCAGCATCTTGGGAATTCATGTAAACAGGCAGCTAATTGTTTGCTCACAGCTCGGAGGCGAGCTGAGACTGTTTGGAGGTGTTAAGCCCGCAGCGAAGACAGCTCTTTTAAATGCAAATGCCAGAAAAAGGGTCCAACGTCTTAGCCCTAGACAATTCAAGGTGTGTGTGCTCCGTCTGAGTGAGTGACTGACTGAATGGTTGACTGTCTTTAAACCTGTAACTCTCCCTCTCCCTCTCTCTGTTGCATAAATTAGTTTTGTTTGTGTCTGGCAGCTACCCCCGAGCAGTCAGTTTAAACAAATTGTGAATTGTGAATTGTGAATGGGGAGTAGTGCGCATTTCCTGTATGCTGAAGATGCGATATATGAGTGAGGCTAGAGTGCGAGTGTGTGTGTGTGTGTGTGTGCGTGTGTTGACATAACGACGTGACAGCAGCCAAGACAGTGCCACATTATGTAAATTTCAAAGCAAAATCACAATAAGAAATCCACATCATGTAAGCAGAGCTGATTACCCATTTCGACTCAAAGGCAAAGGCAACGGCAAAGGCTCAAGGACAGGCCAATACCTTTTTTACGACTAAAGACACCCACACATGCATACACACACCCACACACTCACGCCTAGCTACTGCAGCTGGCAACGACAAATGCTTAAGGTAAATCCAACTCAAGTCAAGTCGTCCAATTGTTGCTCAAATTGGATGTGCGTTGCTTTTGTCAATAACAACAAAAATAACAATAAAGTAAAAAAGAAAATACATCAAGCCAAAAGTAAAATATGAAAATTTGTTGTGCGTGTACGTTTACTGTTTGAATTGAATGTAATTTCTTTCTCTCTCGCCYTTCCTCTCTGTCTCTCTCTCTCACTCTCCCTCTCCCGCTCTCTCTCTTTCTCGCTATTTCGTCAATTGCATGCGCCAAGCAGTCAGGCAGCCAAATTGATGTCAGCTTCCTTCCGATTGCCTCTGACTGATATGCCCAATCATAATCAGGCGACTGTGTGCTCGGAAGCCAGCTAACTTTAGATGAATGTAACATAAAACAAAATTGAATATGTGAGAGAGCTTGCATTTAATCGTTAGTCTTTGGGGATTTCTATGCAATTTATTTTGAAATTTTAAATATTGAATAGAAAGTTCATTGAATTTTGAATATGAATTGATTTGCTTTAATTTTAATTTATTTGACCATAAAGCTTTCTAATTGATTATTTTAAAGACTACTGAAAGTAAAAATAATCTTATGGATTCTATGTATTTACGATCGTGCTTAGTTAGCTAGAGAGTTTGCATCTGTTTATAAAAACGAATATACGTAAAAAGCTCATTAATGCTTAAAGTTTTTTTTATTTGTGGTATATTAATCCTTTATTTGTAGTATATTGATCCTTAAACGATAAAGCTGCTTTCAACAATTTCTAACCGCAGCTTACATTTAAAGACCTGTATCCTTGATTTAATCAAAACGATAACTCAAATTGCTGTACTCTTCTGTAAAGTTCACCTTCAACGTTTATTCGTAATATCTATAAATAACTTGAACATTAACATTGCATATTTCATGCTTTGCTTCGCTCTGTCGCAAAACGTTTTATCTGTCGCTTAAGTCCCACGTCTTAGCCGCTGCCGTTGGGGGCATTAGGTATTAGGAAGCCGCCTGATAACGAATTCACAACTTTCGACATTTATAGCCTTCCAGAATGAAGAGTAGCTATTTTTAAACGCTGCGCGCCAGAGCAGATAATTAGCTGCCAAACTTTTTTTCTCGTTTTTTATCTACATACATTATTTTTACCTTGTGCTGCACGAGTGGCCGCAGGATATGCTGTGGCTATAAAATTGTCAGGATGTGAAATGAATGCGGCAGCAGCTGTCGCTGTCGCTGTGGCAGTCGCTCAACTTGTTGCCTGACAAGTTCATCGAACAAAATGCTGATTGATTTTCACACTCACAGAAAGAGAGAGAGAGAGAGAGAGTGAGAGTGAGAAAGAGAGTGATGTATTTGGAAGCAGCTTTGATTGTTTGACATTGGAGACAAGCATGCGAATTGGTATGACGCATGGCATTCAGTGAGTGGCGCCAGGCAGCCAATGCGGCGGCTACTTAATATTGATTTAATGCCAATTCCATGGGAACAATGCAACAGCCCTGTGACATATAGATTATTTATGAACTGTTTTGTTCCTCATACGATTCCATAAACTGATTGACATATTCATTGAGCAGCAAGCGAAATTGCAATAAAACAGCCAACTTGATGAATGATTGACTGACTGAGTGACTGAGTGAGCGAGTGAGTGAGTGAGTGGCAGTAGTACGTAGTTCATGGTCATTTAATATGCTGCACAAATTGCTTAGTTGACCCAGTGGGCTGGTTTTAACCGAGCTAACTCCAGACCGGACATTCGCTTGACAAATGATGATTTATGTTGCAGTCGAGTCAGCAGAAAAACACGAAAGATGGGGAAAAAATAAAAGACATGGCCATCAGACACTGTATACACTGTACCTTTTACGATGCTACAATGTGAAGCGGAGCAAACTTCTGG